CTAATCTTATCTACTGGAAAGATAACCAAGGGTTATAGTTTAGGTTTATAAGCCTTTATATAGCATTTCAAAATCCAGGAGGGTTTTGTTTTTATCGCTTAACTCCTCCATCTGCAGGTAGAAGCTATTGTTTTCAGCTAGTCTATATATTGCTTTGCAGATTAGGACATAGGCTACTTGAAGGATGCCCTTTTCTTTCAGTTGGGTATCCATTTTGGCTGTTTCTGGGGCATGATGCCCTGGAAGATCACTCTGTGACTGTGTAACTGTCGTATTCAGAACTTGTGGATAAAGGCCACTGCTCTCCTTTGGGGGGAGTTCCTTTGGCCAGAGACGGAGCAGTGTGAGAGGATGTACTGATCTATGTGGATTTCAGTTGCAGAGTTTTTGCTGATCCCAAGCTACAGTTTAGAGCTAGACTTGTTCAGCAGAATACATGAAAGAGGAGAGCAAGCCACAAATGTGTGTAAGAGTCAGCACTAGAGACCAGTACGTAACATTTTTGCAACTGTAAGTCCAGCTTCTGGGCTCCCGGAACAAACTTCTCTGTCAGTAAGGATTTTAAGTCTGCTTTATGGATACCGAGTCTAAAACTAAAATGATTTATACTGAAGGGAGTAAAGCTCTGTAAGGCTTTGATAAAAAAACAAAACAGATTGTCAGACAGTTCAGGAGCTATGTAAGAACATCCGTATAACAACATATACTCCATGCAGGCATTTTGTCAGATGTATGCATACATGATAGGAGAACACAGTTTGAAATAACTGGAAGAGGAGCTGAGAATGATTGAGAATTTGTCTTGGGGAAGACACACCTAGCAACGTTCTTGTTTAGGTAGCATTCCTCTGAAGATGAGGATCTTCTTAAAGCTTAGCAACACTTTTAAAAGTACATATTCGAATTGTTAATATCATAACAGCAAGCCCCCCAAGGAAATCTTATTATTTCTGTATTAAAACACAGATTCACCTGATTAATTCCAAATTTGTATTGAGGAAGAATTAAGCCACTGCGATTCAAGATTCTTCACAATGACGCGTCTTTTGCTAACTTAAAAATAGTGATGGACCAGATGTCCCTTTCCTAATTTGTGGGGGTTTTTTATTTTTCCATTTCATGGAAGCACTGAGATGAGCATTAAAGAAGTAGATAGCATAGATAAAGAATATTTCTAACTCTCATCTTTGCGCTTTTCATGGATGCAAATTCTATCTATCCCGAAAAACACAGGACTTTTTGACTTTGGGTATGTGCAAGTCAGTATAAATAAAACCAAAGTTGTACCTATCCATCTGAATACATAGTTTGCTCCTTATAAATGGCTTATTTTATAAGCCATTTTGTACTCATTTTGCATGCACACATACACTGATTGTGTAGAGAATGCTGACATGGCATTTGCTAAGAGAATTTATTTGTTAAGGGACAGATTTTCTAGAATTATTTAAGTACCAAGAAATAGTGAAGGTCACCTACTGGGATTTTCCAAAATCTCTAAGCAAGAAATTGAAATCTGTGAGAATGAGGAGTGAGACCGTAAGAGGCTTTGTTGAACATTCCTAAATGCGTCTGTCTGTCCTTGCACATAGTCAGCACTGCAGCTGACTTGCCCATATCATTCTTCTGTCTGATCTAAAACACCAGCTGAAATACTTTCTTCTTGAATGACATGTTTGGTTGCTTCATGAAATGCAAATTCAATGAGTGTCTGTCTTACATCTCAGGAGAAGATAGTGTCATATTGTGCATTTAATTTATACAATGAGGACTGTTTCCTTCACAAGCGAAAAGACAAACGTCATTTGTTAAATCTGTGTCGTAGTATACGGTCAAACATAGTCAGTATTGCTTTCAGTTAAGTAAAATACGGTGAGATTATACTGGCAGATACATCATGATTGCACAAAGTGATAAAAGTTGCTTTCTTCAGGTCGGTGTCTTCTGTATTTTGAATAAAACGTTGCAAACGCTGAGACTTTAGGGCCGTTCCCAGCACCTCCCATTCGTCTGTTGAGATATTTAAGTCACCTTTGATCTTGAGGTATAAGACTATTCCTTCAATTTACCACAGATTAAAATGCTCAGCCTCCAAAAGGAGGTGCCTGCAGCATCCCACCAGGCTGGGTACAGAGCCGTATCGACAAGGGGCGATTCTGCCACCCTCACCCCTTGCAGGTAGTACCTCATTGACACAAACGGCCTTGTTAGCTGCCTTTTATTACTCACAAAGAAAAATGTTGCTTAGTGTGAGTTGGGATGGCAGAGTTGGGCCCTTGGTGAACAAAGAGTCCAGGATTATCGTTCCGAAAAGCCCCCTGAGGCCTGTATCAAGAGTTATTAACCAGTGATTCAGCCCATAGCATTATTTTGTAGGCTTAAGTGGGATTTCAGTGGTATATTGGGTCTTGTGTCTGTATAGGGGTGAATTTTGCCCTCTGTTATTTTATCTTATAAATAGCTGTTACAGTTTCTCTTTTACATCATTGTTTAAATCTCTTTCAAAGGTATGGTTTCTTGATCCCCTGCAGCTTTTTTTTTCTTTCTTCTAATAAAGAATAAATAAATTTGCAAATACACACATGACTGAAACAGAAGGCAAATAAGCCTTGCACGGTTTGTATTTGGTGCAGGATACCTCGTTTTGATTATTTCAGTCATCATTCATTTGAAAAGCAGAAGCTATGATTGTTAAGCCTCATTATTTTCAATGAAGCCTGACAGTTTCAAGGTTAAACAGAAGACAGCTACTTTCATCCCAGTGGTATTTCTCTTCAAACATGGGCAGCTCTTCCCTAACTTCTCTGCTCTGGTGTGCAGTGTCATTGCTTGGTCACAGAGTGGTGCACATCTAAGCCCAATTGCAGGAGAGTGTGTAAGCAGTGACCTCCAACCTATGTCTCCCCAAATGAAACCTCAGTTCTTGAAGTCATTTTTCCCCCACTTGTATAAGCCACACAGTATTTCTTTTTAACTCAACAGTGATTTAAATAAGCCAAGATCTCAGATTTTACTATTTTTCTGCTGTCTCCCAGAAAACAATCTGCAGCCCAAACCTTCTGTTTGTCCAGACAGTTTGAAATGTTTCTCCTGTGTTTTATGTCTCTGAAGCACATTAGGGAGGGTGCTAGTGTGGGAGAGAAAGAGACCTCCAGTGGGAGTTAAAGTGGCTGAGAATGCTTCTGAACATATATGCTGTTAAAAGTGAGGACTGATCTGCCATTGCTTTCTGAAATTGCACATGGACTAACAACTGATTTAACAGGGAAACTTCTCGGTACGAGAGGCTGAGGAAACGATGACCTCTCAGTAACTGAGTTAAAACCCTTAGAACCCAGAAAACATTGATTTATCCACTGTGAGAAAACTTTCAGGAGCAAATAACTTGTGAAAGCCCTGACTTTATACTTGCATGGACTGCCTGCACTGAGTTATGACTGACTGGGTGCTGCCTCCATAAAGAGGAAGAAGTGCAGTAGGTGTATGTTACAAAAACAGGAAAAATGCACGAGTTGGTTAAAAAGAAAAAGGGATACATGGAAAACTGAAGGGAGAGGAGTAGCTAAGCAGTCGTTTTTCACCTGTGCTTTCACTCCTTTAGGGTCCCTGTGGAACAGCTAGAACCAGCTGAACTTTCCACATACATTTCCTGGTGTCTGATAATTACATTAGGGTGGTGAATTCTTAATCTTATTTCAGGAATTAAGTCACCTGGTGAGTACAATGAAAGGTGTAGCTTCATGGTGCTTGGTGGTTCCTGGAACACAAGAGTGTTTCAATACGTACCGTGTGTGTTAGTCATGACTTGTGGCAATAAATCCAAGACGTGTTAACTAGTTTTCTTGCACTGAAGTTACTAATGCATTCATGAGATAAAATTAATTTTGCAGTTTTGATAAAGCTGTGTTATTTTTATTTCCTATCTGCATTCCTCATGTTGTATAATATATTAAAAAAAAACCAACTGTCTCTTCAGATAAGAAAAAATGGTTAACTTTGCAACAGTGAATACAGCTATTTGAACCTGCAACTCTTTTTATCTATTATGGAAATTGTGTGTATAATATGCTGGACATGGCTCTAGAAGTGTTCTACTACACACAGTGTCTTCTTTTATATAGTTAGTTTATTTGTGGGAGAGCTTTCATTGACAGATTCCATAAAATACAGATAAATTGAAGAAATAGCTTGAATGCCTGATTACTGGAGTGCTGAAGATAAATGTGTGCAAATGGAAAACCCTGAACAAATTTAGCCCTTTGCATTTGCCTACATACTTTAACAAAAGGAAAGAACAAATTAAGCCAGTGAGATGCTGGACATGCTTATAGCCTGTGCCTTAAAACTAAAAGAGGATTAGGCGGCTCTCTGTCCTACTTATTTAGACTGTTAATTTTTCTGTAGTTGTGTTGACATAATAATCATTCGGGCCACCTTCAAAATATCATCATCCATATCCTCAGAAACTTGTCTTGTTAGGCACTTTGAAGAAGTTTTTGGCATAAAATACATGGGGTTTTAGGCATAAATTTATAAACTGGACAATAAAAGTATCTGTTGGATAATGAGCAGGATATTTTTTAAGGGGAAACAACAGCCAAGTGTTGCATTTAACAAGAGACATGGACCATTCATATTTTAAAAAGTGCAAGAATTGAATGTCCTTCTTCCACCGAAGTGTATATGTGCGACAGGATTGCTGCACAGGGTTTTGCGTTAATCCCTTGCGGGGACCTCAGATACTACATATACTACAAAAGAAAAGTGAGTTGATATATGTCACTGTCTGCAAATAGGTTGGGTTGTAGGTTAAAAAGTTTTCCGTAAGTTGTCTGCATTTTCCCTTAATGTCTGTCTTTTACAGTAGTGCTTTGTTTCTAAGCGTGACCACCACCAGGACAGCTTGGTTCAGTGCAAACACTGTCTCTTTCAGCCAGAACATTCCTAATGTTAGCTTCCTTTTTTTTTCTCTCCTCTCCCTCTCCCCTGCCCCCTCTCAGGTTGGAAAGGCTGGTGGACGTCCTGAGGAAGAAGGTTGGAACAGGGACCATTAGGACCGTGATCTGATTGAAAGCTCTAGTCTAAGGAAGCATTCACATCTGGTGACCAGGCTGCTTCATTCAGCACTGTGTAAACACTAAAGCCTTAACTTAGCAAACAGTTGTTAGAAGTGGGACACTCCAGCGACATTCCAAGCTGAGATAAAATCAAATCATAAATGTTTAACTACTTTGCTGCTGAGTTCTGTGATTTGTTGAAATGTTTCACTGCAAACATATATTTGTTTTTAAGCAGATGCATTGTGGCACTGTGTACTGTGAAAAATGATGTAGATGCTTATTTTAACAGTCTGTCCTCTTGGTGTTACTAGACTATAGTCTGCTGCAAGGCACAGCTTAGTCATGTTTTCAAATACTGCAGGCTTCAGGTGCAAAATCCTGCAAAGCAGTTTCAAAATTTACGTCCCTTATGTTATTTGTGAGACTGCAAACAGTCCAGTATTTGTATGTCAAAAGTATTAATTGATGAAGTAGGTTCACATCCAAGAAATATCTCTGGCTAGTATATTGGAGATTTTTTCCTCCTTACTCATAGCCCATTGAATTGCAGCAGTGACTGTGGGTAACATCTAAGGGAAGGATACATGTATAGCTTTATGCAATGGTTGAATAGCTACTGCTAGTACATGGCATTTTCAGTGTACATTAAAAAGAAATGTTTCACTGGAGGTACAGCTTCATAAATTGCAACATGAAAGCCTTGTGACATTGTACAGTATATCAGACAGTGGGGAAGGTTTCCTGTATTGTTTTTAGTCACTCCTCTGTCCTTTCCTATGAGGGAAAATCTCTCAAATATTCAGAAACCACCTTATAAAGTCAAAATTCGCCTTTTCATTGTAAGGTGGGTCACTCACCCCTTTCCTACAAGACTTTTTGCCTGCTTTTCTAGATCTCTGATTGCTCTGCAGTGCAGGAGTACCATCCAGGTTGGGTTTGAGGCCAGACTGCCAACCCTCTGCTTTGTGTACTCCTGAAGTGCCCAGGGACTGAACTCAAAGGCTGAAGGATGGACTCCTACGGGGAGGGGAGAAACTGAGGGGTGAGGAGGAAAATTTGGGGTACACAGACATTATAGACCTTACAGATACAGGAGAATCGGACCTAGGGTTATATTTGTGACCCAAACGTCTCCCTGTATTCGGTATGTCTTTGTCACGTGACCAAAGGTGAGCAGAAAGGTCAGGTCAGTGCTTGTATAAGCCTGCTCTCAAGAAGGCAGCTGTAATCTCTAAGCAGCCCAAATTCAGTAACGAATCTCAGGAGCACGGTGGGCTTTAAGCTACTCCCATGACCAGCCAGCTCAGGCAGGGTTGATGTAGCTCCTAAGGCTTCCACTTGCCTACTCTGCTTTGTGTTTAATGTTGTTATGCTGTCTTCTCTCTTAATGTTTGCTTGTACAGATGTCACGGTAGGGCACTCTAGCTGAAGAAAATGAAATTTTAATTTTGGATAGAGGGAAACGTTTCAATGTCTGTTTTTTCTTTCAAGCACTTCCATGTTAAACCTTCATCATCTGCAGACCTAAGCTCCTCCTGGTTTCAGTCAACCAAACCTAACCCCTTGCAGGGAGATGAGCATTCCTCTAAGCCAAATTTACCTAAGTCACTTCTAGAAACTTCTGAAGTGCTCCTTTTTGACCTTTGGTCAATCCTAAGATAGCCAGTGAGTGTGGAGTCT